AGGTACTCTGGTCAGATGAGACTAAAATTGAGTTTTTTGGCCATCAAGGAAAACGCTGTCTGGGCAAACCCAACACCTCTCATCACCCCGAGAACACCATCCCCACAGTGAAGCATGGTGGTGGCAGCACCCTGCTGTGGGGATGTTTTTCATCGGCAGGGACTGGGAAACTGGTCAGAATTGAAGAAATTATGGATGGCGCTAAATACAGGGAAATTCTTGAGGGAAACCTGTTTCAGTCTTCCAGAGATTTGAGACTGGAACGGAGGTTCACCTTCCAGCAGGACAATGACCCTAAGCATACTGCTAAAGCAACACTTGAGTGGTTTAAGGGGAAACATTTAAATGTCTTGGAATGGCCTAGTCAAAGCCCAGACCTCAATCCAATTGAGAATCTGTGGTATGACTTAAAGATTACTGTACACCAGCGGAACCCATTCAACTTGAAGGATCTGGAGCAGTTTTGCCTTGAAAAATGAGACATACCCCAAGAGACTTGCAGCTGTAATCGCTGCAAAAGGTGGCTCTACAAAGTATTGACTTTGGGGGGTTCAATAGTTATGCACGCTCAAGTTTTCTGTTTTTTTGGCTTATTTCTTGTTTGTTTCACAAGAAAAAAGATTTTGCATCTTCAAAGTGGTAGGCATGTTGTGTAAATCAAATGATACAAACCCCCAAAAAATCCATGTTTAATTCTAGGTTGTAAGGCAACAAAATAGGAAAAATGCCAAGGGGGGCAAATACTTTCTCAAGCCACTGTACCTAAACAACATTTTGAACTGCAGTTGTATGGAACTCTGGTAAACTAAAAGCAGATTTACATAACTCTGAGGAGACCGAAGGGGTCCAGAATTAGCCATCCCTGAGACCGGGTATGGTAACTCATACTCTTAAGGTTATTCATTATGTTAGGATTTTTGTAAGATAGCTTTATAGATAAAAAGAGAGCAATGGATCGACCTATATGATTTCAAAGAGGGCCAGCCTACTTTCTGGTAAAGAATGCAGTGGTGTGTACTGAACCTATCACCTGTAATAAAATGTAGTGCGCTATGGTAAACTGCATCTAATGGTGAAAAAAAAAATCACAACCATTATAACATGGATAGATCATCTGTCACATAAACTAGAGAAAAGCAAACGTACACTCTTAGAAAAAAGTTGTTACCTAAAGCCATAAAGGGTTCGTTGATTTGTCCCTGTAGCAGAACACTTTTTGGCTCCAGGTAGAACCTTTTCATTTAAGGATTTTTCATCTTCAGATGAAAAAGGTTTCTTGTTGAACCCTGCCTATCCTCAAAGAACCCCTTTAGAAACCTTTTGTCTAAGATTTTTCAAGGAGCAAATACCCAACTCACATTTTCAACAATTTCTCTTCGAGCCGTTTAAAACTAACTCATTACTTGTTGTGAAATTGTTCTGAGGTTTCATCTTCGCGACTGGCACTGTGCCAGTTCTTTTAAACTGTAGACTTTCATTAACTAAATGGAAGGGGTCTATAAAGCAATCAAATGACTCACTCATTGACTCAGACCACTCTAATAAAGGGGTGGTTGTACACACATCATTAAAAATAGATAATTAATTTCAGACTGTTGAAGCATTTGTTTTGAAGCGCTACTCAAAACCAATTTCACAGGAATTATATTTGATGGATTTCACACAATGTCTAACTAATCCTTGAACCTGTTAGATCATGGAGGGTGCCCACCCAAGCGCTGCCTTTCCATGATGCTTATTGGCAGCCATAGCTCATGTCCCACCCTCAGTCTCAGGGCAGCTGTGCAGGCATGTTGGAGCATCTCTTTAGCCACATTAAAGGTGCAGTATTCTTAAGAGGGTACAGGAGATACACAGGCATCATTGTTGAGAGCCATGATAAGAATCATAGACTTCAGCGCTAATGACATACAGTGCATTCGGAAAGTACTCAGACCCTTGACTTCTTCCACATTTTGTTACGTTACAGCCTTATTCTAAAATGGATTAAATAAAAATAAATCCTCATCAATCTACACACAATACCCCATAATGACAAAGCGAAAACTGGTTTTAAGATTTATTTTGCAAATGTATAAAAATAAAAAACAGAAATACCTTATTTACATAAGTATACCGACCCTTTGTTAAAATACTTGAAATTGAGCTCAGGTGCATCTTGTTTCCATTGATCATCCTTGAGATGTTTCTACAAATTGATTGGAGTCCACCTGTGGTAAATTCAATTGATTGGACACAATTTGGAAAGGCACACACCTGTCTATAGAAGGTCCTACAGTTGACATTGCATGTCAGAGCAAAAACCAAGCCATGAGGTCGAAGGAATTGTCCATAGAGCTTCAAGACAGGATTGTGTCGAGGCACAGATCTGGGGAAGGGTACCAAAACATTTCTGCAGCATTGAAGGTCCCCAAGAAGTGGCCTCCATCATTCTTAAATGGAAGAAGTTTGGAACCACAAACAATCTTCCTAGAGCTGGCTGCCCGGCCAAACTGAGCAATCGGGGGAGAATGGCCTTGGTCAGGGAGGTGACCAAGAACCCGATGGTCACCCTGACAGAGCTCCAGAGTTCCTCTGTGGAGATGGGAGAACCTTCCAGAAGGACAACCATCTTTGCAGCAATCTACCAATCAGGCCTTTATGGTAGAGTGGCCAGACGGAAGCAACTCTTCAGGTGCATGACAGCCTGCTTGGAGTTTGCCAAAAGGCACCTAAAGACTCTCAGACCATGAGAATCAAGATTCTCTGGTCTGATAAAACCAAGATTGAACTCTTTGGCCTGAATGCCAAGTGTCACGTCTGTAGGAAACCTGGCACCATCCCTACGGTAAACCATGGGGGTGGCAGCATCATACTGTGGGATGTTTTTCAGCGGCAGGGACTTGGAGACTAGTCATGATCGAGGGAAAGATGAACGGAGTAAAGTACAGAGAGATCATTGATGAAAACCTGCTCTAGAGCGCTCAGGACCTCAGACTGGGATGAAGTTCACCTTCCAACAGGACAATAACCCTGGGCACACAGCCAAGACAATACAGGTGTGGCTTCGGGACAAGTCTCTGAATGTCCTTGATTGGCCCAGCCAAAGCCCGGACTTGAACCTGATCGAACATCTCTGGAGAGACTTGAAAATAACTGTGCAGCGACGCTAACCATCCAACCTGACAGAGCTTGAGAGGATCTGCAGAGAAGAATGGGAGAAACTCCTCAAATACAGGTGTACCAGGAATGTAGCGTCATACCCAAGAAGACTGAAGGCTGTAATCGCTGTAAAAGGTGCTTCAACAAAGTACTAAGTAAAGGTCTAAACACTGTTTTTTGCTTTGTCATTATGGGTTATTGTGTGTAGATTGATGAGGGAAAAAAACGAATGAATCAATTTTAGAATAAGGCTGTAACATAACAAAATGTGGAAAAAGTCAAGGGGTCTGAATACTTTCCGAATGCACTGTATCATCTCAACATAGCTGTCGTCTTTCTTCTTAAGTACTATCAAGCAATGCAAACACAAACAGAAAGAGGCTACAAGGTAGGTCAGGACCCTGTCTCCTCAGATCCACTACATCATCCTAAGGGTGTTAATACATGTTATAACAGGTAAAAGAGGTTGATGGCCTGATGGAGCACGTTGTCATTGGTGAACAATTTTCAAGATCTTTGACAGATAAGACTGATTGTGGTTCCCTTGATGATTTATTTGGAGTTTAAAACACTTTTATTATGCCCCACTGTTAGCTGTTTTTCATTTGGTACATCATTTGGATAAGATAGCATTTTCTGTTTTTATCCTCAACTGAAAATCTGAATGTTCTGGAATAGTTGTGTTTAGTGCATATCCTATGAGGCCTTAGAATAGTCAGTTCTCTCCACTCTGAGACTTATTATAATCCTATTACAGTCATATATTGAGTGATGGCATTAAAATTAATTTACAAGTTAACTTTAATTAAAAAGAAACAGAAAGAGTAGAGATTTGAAAATTATTTACATAATATGTTTGACAATACATTTTGAAGCCTCACACAGTCTTCAGGATTTCTAAATACTGTAATTTTTTTACATTTTTAGCAGACACTCTTATCCAGAGCGACTTACAGTAAGTGAGTGCATACATTTTCATACTGGCCCCCTGTGGGAAACGAACCCACAACCCTGGCGTTGCAAGCGCCATGCTCTACCAACTGAGCTACAGGGGACTATATGTAACATGGCTTTTTTTTTTATGTTCAACGTACCACACATCTGTATGCAACATTTCTCCAAACGCAAACCAATAAACTGAAAGAACACAAGAGCACAGTCTTGCTGGACCTCAGACCTGCAGTAGTTGTTGTGCTTCAGGTGAGTGTGGCAGGTGTGCTGCAGAGCCCCGTCTCTGTCGGTTTCCCCTGGGGCCTGGGGGAGTGTGTGTGTGTCTGTGTGGGGGATTATGCCAAATACTCTTCAAAGCAGACCCTGGATAAATATAAATATGGGTTAATTTAACAATTGAATGACACTAGGAAATTATTACAAATATTTGAATATAAGTCTCAGAGTAACTACTTTTAAAACAACTGTATTCGATTATGACTGTCACAAAGGAGGTATTTCTTAAAACAAATAAATACCTTACAAGTAATTGAAATAAAAATACAGTTAAACTTTTAGCATGATTTCTGACAAATCAATCAAGGCCTGTCTTTCAGTTACAGCTTCCATAATACATGACAGCATTTATTTTTTCAGCAAAACATGTGTTTAGTAAACAATAGAACTAGTCAAACTACAACACTGTTTCCTTTTACATCACAAAAAAAAGCAATTCACAGTACTTCAATGTACATTTCAACACAAAGGAAAGTATAACTACATACATACTGTATATTAACCTGAATTATGAGCAATAGAAATATAAGGGTTACCTACATAAATTCATTTGTAATCCATACATAACACATTCATAAGCATTGTGTAAACATTTCAATAATGCTTATGACTGGCTGCAACACTGATATATCTTAGACACCGGGGATGAAGATTGAGGAACTGTTCACATATGTGTATTTGTCATCCTGATCCTCCAGAAGTTTCTCCAGGGGGTTGGGTTCTTCAGCCTCAACAGGGCTCTGCTCCAGGGGCTGGGGCTGGGGGTCCTGCTGGGGCATGGTGGGGGTCACTGGCATGGACATGGGAAGCAGCTGAGACCCAGCCAGAGTGGCAGGGTGAGAGGCAAACTGCACACCCGATGGGATGGTGGTTAGCGGCTGGGCCCACGGGATATAAGTCAGCACCGAGTCCTGGAGGTCCACTTGCGGTAGGGCTGTGGATGTTGGTGCTAGGGTCTGCACCGACAACAGTGGATGTGTTAGTAGTCAAAACCCAGCTGTGTTACAACTAGTTTGTACAGGTGAAGGTGTACTATACTATACTCTGTGGATATGACGCAATGTTTACAGAGTTTATGCTTAATTCAGTTGGCACAGGATCAAAATGTGTTGCTCTTTCACTTACCCCGAAGTTGGTAAAGAGAGGTGTGTGAGTGTAGGTGAGCATGGAGGATGGGCCCACCACGGTGTAGCTGGGGCACATGGGCTGCATGTACATGTCAGTGGTGAGGGGCAGGGTGGTGGTGGTTGTGGTGGTGGGGTCATGCTGTTGGAGGTACTCTGGGTAGGACCAATTGTTCATGGGCTGGAGAGCAGTAGCTGCAGGCTGGGCTATCCAACCTGCACAGAGGCCACCATCATTGACTGTGGAGGAGTCATTGGATAGGCTACTAGCCACTTCAAACCCGGAAGTCCCTATGGAGATACCATACTGGGTTAGCACTAGTAGCCAATAGTAATGTACAGATTTAAACTTTCATCCAAAGTAATGATGGGAATATATACTCCAATTCACTTACCAAGCTGTGCATATGAAGGGAAGTTGTTGTTTGGGACCCCAACCTGTGAAAAATATGTAATGAGAAATCTATCTGAAGGAAGGGAATCTAAATTCACTCCAAAAGCATTTATTATTTAAGCTGAGTTACAATGGTATTTGAGCTTTAAAGCTCAGGAGTTTACATTCAAATGCTGTATGTTCATTTTCAATGGTAAACCCCAGGTGGTGAGTGATTTTAATCATTTTAAATGCCAACATAATTTAAACAGTAGCTACAAATCCACTGGCTTATATGGTCATGTTACCTGTGTGTAGAACAATGTATTAACCTGTATTACTTCACAGTTTTTAACAGGCCCTCAATCTTTCTATCTCATCAGGGCCTGTGTGTTTGGAGTGTAGTGTTGAGAATGCCGTACTGTGTGTGCATTGTGTGTTGTCAGAGGTAATTAATAGGTTGGTAAGAGGGCTCCTTGGCATGGCTGAGCTGAGCTGATTTGCATAGGCCCTGTGCCCAGCCTTGCAGCCATGTAGTAACTGTCATGGGAAAACACCTGCATTATATAAGGATAAAATCCCCCTTTTCTACCCTGCTGTAGGAATCTGATCTTCTCCAGGATCCTTTCAGTTGACGTTGTGCATGTCCAGCCAAACAAAAGGTTTTTAGGGCATGTTGTAAGGATAAGAAAAAATGCTGAAGATTCTAGTTGACGCTTCAGGTTGACAGGTTGACAATTCAGGTTGACACTTATCTAAAATGTTTCAAATGGCATTCCTGTGGCTTTGCTGACTCGGTCTCTGTTCTCTTTTGTCTCCTGCTCTGTCTTGTCCAATTCTCTATTATAGAATGACAGGCTCACACTAAATTCATAGTTCTTGTTATGTTTCCCTCACCGCTCTAGGGGGCACTGTCTTGGCATTGTGAAGATGCAGTCCTCGTTTCCTCCTCAGCAACTCTTTGACTGGGTCTCGGACTCGCACCCCTTGGTATGGCTTTTCATCAGGCAGCCCTGAGGAAGGAGCTATAGAGACAATCACAGAAAGGAGAAACTGGCGGTTAGCTTATATCCGTGTGTCATCAGGGCAGCAAAGGGTTGAGTCTGCAACTACAGACCTCTATTATTCATTGATTGCTCTTTAAAGATACAATATGGAGGTTCAGTTGCTTATTGTTTGCGTCATGGGTGCGGTGGGGAGGTGTGCCCCTTTCTGTCCTGAGGTAATTTCAAGACAATATTTCTGTCCATTTAGGAGACACCTTTTGGCTCGAGAGCACCCCCAGAAACAAAAGTTCTGTAAAAACTCTTCAATAAGAGGTATCATAGATGTGATTTGCACCACTGATATTGGTTCTGATTGGGTAAGTGGACAGGAAGGAACATAATAGAAACAAAAGTAGAAGCTCAAGTGTGCCACACCCAGCAACCCTATGTCTGTAGGCACGAAGACAGACCGAAACTCATGCTACCTCGGACATTCTGCATGTATTAGCTTGAAATGAAACTGGACCTGAGTGTGGTGGCCTCTTTAAGTAGGCCAAGTTGGTATTTGAAACACACTTCTAACATGAGAACAGCACATACTCACTTGCTATATAAACTGTCATCTTTTTACAAACAATTTGTCAATTTGATAGACTAGAATAGGCTATAGAGAATTTCATGTTGATACATTGTAAATAGAGGGAGGCATTTTCCCATAGGCATGTCATTAATGACAACTTATTCAGAATTTGATCGATGGACTAAGCGTGAATGAAAAATACGTATGAGTCATAAACTGTGAGCAGCTTTGTTGAAAATTATATTTTGGAAGTTGAATTGCTACCAGTTCACTTCTATTCCCTTCGTCAACTCCCACTTAATACATTTGTTTTTAATTAATAATCTTCTCTTAATGATATGAACCAGTAGATATTTAATGCACATTTATTATAACTTTGACTCACTATCAGACACACTCCCTGTTCTTTCTCAGTGACATAATTAATCAAAAAGGTCAAAAGTTAAACATCACTCAACTAAGGCAAGGCATCTGCAGATGAACTTTTACCCTCAATTCATTACATTTTAGTGAGGGAAAAATCATGGTCTTTAGGCTCATGAAATTGGTCCATAAAAATTTAACTTATTTAATACAAATTTGGTTGACTACGGAAAGGAATATCATACTGTGCCTTTGACTTATACATTTCCCCAGGTTTTAATATTTTTTTTAAAACTACCTTTAAAAATCCCTGTCACATACAATAAGACCCTGTTTGTCTGCACGTGTGTGACCAAGGTGTGTGAAACCATGGGAACCCTTTTCCTGTTGTCAAGTGTCTAGAGACTGATGATGATCTGTAATGCAGAGGTGGAGGCCCTATTGTTTCAGATCTGGCTGTGTACTGTAAGCACGTGGCTTGTGTGGTTATCTGGAGCGAGTCCTGCCACTTTCCTTTCCAGATCTAAATCGAAATCTGATTGATTTACCCCCCCAGCACGGTAAATTACACTGACTCCAGGAGCAGTCAGCTGATTGAACTTTTTAACCAAATAACAATTTTAAATTACCTTCACATTATCATTCAACTCTATAAGGCCCAATTACTAGCAGACAATACTGTAATACCAATTACTACTCCCCCCCCCATTCCTAGATATCACTCAATGAGCCCATCAACGCTGCACTAAATGTCCTCTTCCATTTACACTTAACTTACTGTGGTGCAGAAGACTGTAACTGATCCCACTGTAGTAGATCCTTCTGAATGTGTTGTTTCACCTGGAGCAGGATCAATGAGTAACTTCATATTTCTGAATTGTAGTTGTTGTTTCATCAAAACAATGACACTATACTAAATAACCAGCTAATGAACTTACAGTAAAACTTTAGGCAAGTCAAAAGATAAGCATAAACTTAAAAAGTAAGTGAACTTTCCCTTTAATTACACTAAGTGTGTCTGGACTGTAGGCAGACAGCCCTCATGCAGCCCCTGAGAAAGTTGTGGTTTCTGACAAGCAGTAACCAGATGTACAGCATGCATGTCAGTGGGACAGAAAGCTACGGCACGCAGCATTACTCAGAGGTCATACCGTTAGAACCAACCAATGGAAGGTAAAGCTATATTGCTGTGAAACTGAATAAAATGTTTCCTTTTTTGACCTGAATTTGATGCGTTGGAGGATCTTCATTGTTTTTTTCTATAATGCATTATTATATTCCACTACCTATTGGTGAATATAAACTCTCAATGTAATTGGAGCAACCAGAAACTGTACAAATGGAAATTAGATTGAGCGAGTGTGTGAGGGAATTATGTTGAAGGGGGTGTCCATATTTAATATGAAAATTAGCAGTTATAATGATATACAGTATTTAATTTATATGAAACACATGAAGATCTAAGAGAACATGAAAAAATTCATGAATTCAGTCCTATTCTTCATAAACAGATAAACACACACGCACGCGCATGTACGCCCGCACGCCAAACGCACGCACACACACACACACACACAGACATAAGATTCTGAGCTATACAAAAGAGGAAGAAATGCAGCTGTGATGTGGTGTGGGGCTTGTGCCGTTTTGCATATCAAGATTATAGCCAACATGAAGACCAACCTCCAAATGATTGTCTTCCTGTTTCCAAATGGGCTTCAACATAACACTTTCTCCAGTGATTCTGACAACATAACTTTTAGCCCTTTTACCGCACGTCAACATACTGAAGTAGAAAGTTACTCTAGTTAAAATTATTGATCTCAAATTAGGATTTGGTTCAAAGTGATACTTTAACACCATCCCTGTCTCTGATTAAATATTGTAAAAATCCCTCTGTCCAAACAGAGGCCTAATCTTCTGTTCCTTTTACATTGGCCAAAAATTTTACATCTCCTAATGTGTTGTTGCTTTATAACGACTTTCTCAGTCGAAAACCACTGTAAATCATCTTAACCATGACACTAGAGTGCAAAAAGGTGAGGAGGCTTGGAGAAAACTATCCATCAAGACTGACCTGAAACATGTCGTCACATGACCTGAACGGTTGACTCAGCAAATATTAAGTAGTAAATCATTTTTCTGTAGGGCATGTTGTATCAATTATGACCCTCAACCTCTGACCCCAACTTTTGACCCTCAATGACAATGTGCAAAATGCTCATTCACATGCCATAGTTCTCGGTGCTGTTATCTTGTAGTAATCATATGGACTTGTTCAACACTGTGCACATTTCCACAGCGCCTACATACATATTGTATAATGACTGGTCAGTTGGAGAAGGTAGGCTAATTGACACTGAATCAGCTGGTATTACTTTCCCTGCAATAAGATGTTTGCATACCGTAGTCAAAGATCAAAATGATTCTGTTTGGTAATGTTTGATCAATTGATAAGAGGTAGAATATAATGTTTTGGAATATAGCACAACATTTGGTCAAATAAATTCATTTGTTCATTAGTTGATGTGTCAACATTTCTAATTTCAATTTCGATTCAATTTTTTAAAAGGATCATGTACTTACATTTCTCCCAGTGCATTCTCTACGGCTGTCAGATATCTCAAGCTCTGAGTAATTTGTTGAATTAGTTGACTTTTCTTAATAGGATCTGAGTTTGACACAGAACCATAGTGAGCGATGGGCTTCAGTGACTTGCTTTTTAACAGCTGCTTCAAAACCTCAAGTGATGTCACATCTCTTCCAACCACAGGTTTCCCTGAGTGGTCTCCGTGTCACCAACGTTCCACTGACATTGACTGAGAGGTTGACTACTACACTCTTTTACACTCTAAACATGTCTGTCAGTGTCCACCAAGATCCAGTAGATGAGATGTATTTTACTTGAATGGTACCTACATAAGGATAAATAAATTATTTATTATCTACACAATTCAAATAGTAACTATGAATAGTTACTACTTTCATTACATTCTTTATATTCAAACCACATTACAACAGAGTAAGTGTTGCTGCACAATATTGTACCTGAAACAGTTCTTCCCTTAGGGAAGTCTGACTAAAGCAGTGCACTGCTTGCTATGAATTCTATCTGATGGTGTATGCATGTTTAGGTAAAAAGACAATTAATGTATTTTAATTGGAACACTAATAATAATAATTGGAACACTGACAAGTAAAGATTTCTTCTTTGTAGCCATCACACCAAACAGCATAAAGCACATCTGCACAAATCTGATGCCTAAATTAGGCCTTTCAAAACCAACCCAGAAACTGAACTAAGCAAGTCTACTAGATATATCAGGAAATGCATAGGAAACACCTGCATATACTTAGAGGTTGACTGACCACCAACACAGTACGAGACCTCATGTTCCCTTTCTTAGCAGTTTGTTCTCTCAAAAATGTGATGATCAATCTTATAATGACTGCATTCATCAGCATTATCTTAATCTGGGATTTCTTATTTCTTCTATTTAAAGTAATGGAAAAAATAATACATTTAAATTCCATCGCTAGCTAGGCTGATGAAAACAAGAGTAAACACATTTTCAATCATCTGTAATTTGTAGTAGAAAGTTATGACCAACACTTTGCCTTACTGCCTTCAAAGGCTGACAGATTAATAGGCTACACATGCAATAGTGTCTAAAAGACGCATATAATCAACATTTCCAGGCTTTGAGATATCCATTATAACCTTCATGTTACCTAAAGCTATTATTTTGACTAGAACTAGGACATAATCAATGGATTGTAACTTACATTGTCATGGTGGGATAATTCTGTAGTTCCAGCTACTACTATGCCCTTGTCTAAAAGTTATCACTGTTCATTCTAATTTCTTCCCATTGCTTTTGAATGAGTGCACTGACTGATGCAAAGTATGGCTTCATTTAGATAGCTGATGCAAAGAAGCTGTTATACAGGGGTTTGAAAAATGATCACAGAGGTGTTCTGTGGCTTTAAGCAAAATTCGATGTTTTGATTACAATTACCATTTCTATACACCATTATGTATTTTGAGTATTACTGTATTGTAGCACTGAGGTTGTATCTCTCAGAAGTAGCTTTCTGTTTTCACAAAGGAAGATGCTCATTGGCCTCTTAGACTGATTCATGCACGTACATACCCAGACACGCACGCACGCACGCACACACGCACGTACACACACACACACACACACACAAACACACACACATTTTCGAAATGTTTACAAATTAATAAAAAATGAAAAGCTTAAATGTCTTGAGTCAATAAGTATGCAATCCCTTTGTTATGGCAAGCCCAAATAAGTTCAGGGGTAAACATTTGCTTAACAAGTCACATAATAATTTGCATGGACTCACTCTGTGTGCAATAATAGTGTTTAACATCATTTTTTGTATGACTACCTCATCTCTGTAACCCACACATACAATTATCTGTAAGGTCCCTGCGTCGAGTAGTGAATTTTAAACACATATTCAACCACAAAGGGAGGTTTTCCAATAAAAAGCAGACATTGAATACCCCTTTGAGCATGCTGAAGTTATTAAATACACTTTGGGTGGTGTATCAATAAACCCAGTCACTATAAAGATACAGCCGTCCTTCCTAACTCAGTTGCCGGAGAGGAAGGAAACCGCTCCGGGATTTCCCCATGAGGCCAATGGTGACTTTAAAACGGTTATAGGGTTTAATGGCTGTGATAAAATAAAACTGAAGATGGATCAACAACATTGTAGTTACTCCACAATACTAAACTAACTGACAGAGTGAAAAGAAGGAAGCCTGTACAGAATAAAAATATTCCAAAACATGCATCCTGTTTGCAACAAGGCACTAAAGTAATACAAAAAAAATGTGGCAAAGCAATTAAACTTTTTGTACTGAATACGAAGTGTTATATTTTGTGGTAAATCCAATACAACACATTACTGCAGGGTTCTTCAATTCCGGTCCTGGAGGGCCGAAACACTTCTGTTTTTTATTTCTACCTGGTAGTTAATTGCACTCACCTGGTGTCCCAGGTCTGAATTAGCCCCTGATTAGAAGGAGAGGATGAAAAACAGAGGTGTTTCGGCCCTCCAGGACCGGAATTGAAGAACCCTGCATTACTGAGTACCACTCTCCATATTTTCAAACATAGTGGTGGCTGCATCATGTTATGGGCATGCTTGTTATCGTTAAGGACTGGGGAGTTTTTCAGGATAAAAAAGAAATGGAATGGAACTAAGCACAGGCAAAATCCTTGAGGAAAACCTGGTTCAGTCTGCTTTCCACCAGACACTGGTAGATTAATTCACCTTTCAGCATGACAATAACCTAAAACACTAGGCCAAATCTACACTGGACTTAATTACCAATAATACAATGAATGTTCCTGAGTGGCTAAGTTACAGTTTTGACTTAAATTTACTTGAAAATCTATGGCAATGATCAACAACCAATTTGACGTTTTTCCTATTTTGTTGCATTACAACCTGTAATTCAAATGGATGTTTATTTGGATTTCATGTAATGGACATACACAAAATAGTCCAAATTGGTGAAGTGAAATGAAAAAAAGTACTTGTTTCAAAAAATTATACAAAATTAATAAGGGAAAAGTGGTGCGTGCATATGTATTCACCCCCTTTGCTCTGAAGCCCCTAAATAAGATCTGGTGCAACCAATTACCTTCAGAAGTCACACAATTCGTTAAATAAAGTCCATCTGTGTGCAATCTAAGTGTCACATGATCTGTCACATGATCTCAGTATATACAGTGGGGAAAAAAAGTATTTAGTCAGCCACCAATTGTGCATGTTCTCCCACTTAAAAAGATGAGAGAGGCCTGTAATTTTCATCATAGGTACACGTCAACTATGACAGACAAATGGAGAGAAATAAATCCAGAAAATCACATTGTAGGATTTTTAATGAATTTATTTGCAAATTATGGTGGAAAATAAGTATTTGGTCACCTACAAACAAGCAAGATTTCTGGCTCTCACAGACCTGTAACTTCTTCTTTAAGAGGATCCTCTGTCCTCCACTCGTTACCTGTATTAATGGCACCTGTTTGAACTTGTTATCAGTATAAAAGACACCTGTCCACAACCTCAAACAGTCACACTCCAAACTCCACTATGGCCAAGACCAAAGAGCTGTCAAAGGACACCAGAAACAAAATTGTAGACCTGCACCAGGCTGGGAAGACTGAATCTGCAATAGGTAAGCAGCTTGGTTTGAAGAAATCAACTGTGGGAGCAATTATTAGGAAATGGAAGACATACAAGACCACTGATAATCTCCCTCGATCTGGGGCTCCACGCAAGATCTCACCCTGTGGGTTCAAAATGATCACAAGAACGGTGAGCAAAAATCCCAGAACCACACGGGGGGACCTAGTGAATGACCTGCAGAGAGCTGGGACCAAAGTAACAAAGCCTACCATCAGTAACACACTACGCCGCCAGGGACTCAAATCCTGCAGTGCCAGACGTGTCCCCCTGCTTAAGCCAGTACATGTCCAGGCCCGTCTGAAGTTTGCTAGAGTGCATTTGGATGATCCAGAAGAGGATTGGGAGAATGTCATATGGTCAGATGAAACCAAAATAGAACATTTTGGTAAAAACTCAACTCGTCGTGTTTGGAGGACAAAGAATGCTGAGTTGCATCCAAAGAACACCATACCTACTGTGAAGCATGGGGGTGGAAACATCATGCTTTGGGGCTGTTTTTCTGCAAAGGGACCAGGACGACTGATCCGTGTAAAGGAAAGAATGAATGGGGCCATGTATCGTGAGATTTTGAGTGAAAACCTCCTTCCATCAGCAAGGGCATTGAAGATGAAACGTGGCTGGGTCTTTCAGCATGACAATGATCCCAAACACACCGCCCGGGCAACGAAGGAGTGGCTTCGTAAGAAGCATTTCAAGGTCCTGGAGTGGCCTAGCCAGTCTCCAGATCTCAACCCCATAGAAAATCTTTGGAGGGAGTTGAAAGTCTGTGTTGCCCAGCGACAGCCCCAAAACATCACTGCTCTAGAGGAGATCTGCATGAAGGAATGGGCCAAAATACCAGCAACAGTGTGTGAAAACCTTGTGAAGACTTACAGAAAACGTTTTTACCTGTGTCATTGCCAAAAAAGGGTATATAACAAAGTATTGAGAAACGTTTGTTATTGACCAAATACTTATTTTCCACCATAATTTGCAAATAAATTCATAAAAAATCCTACAATGTGATTTTCTGGATCTTTTTTCCTCATTTTGTCTGTCATAGTTGACGTGTACCTATGATGAAAATTACAGGCCTCTCTCATCTTTTTAAGTGGGAGAACTCACACAATTGGTGGCTGACTAAATACTTTTTTTCCCCACTGTATACACCTGTTCTGAAAGGCCCCAGAGTCTGCAACACCACTAAGCAAGGGGTACCATCAAGCAAGCGTCACCATGAAGACCAAGGAGCTCACCAAATAGGTCAGGGACAAAGTTGTGAAGAAGTACAGATCAGGGTTGGGTTATAAAAAAATATCAGAAACTTTGAACATCCCACGGAGCACGATTGAATCCATTATTAAAAAACTGAAAGAATATGGCACCTCAACT